ATTTCATTATTAAATCAAGATGCAAAGATATTTACTGCAAACTTTGTAAATAGAATGAACAAGTTTATTACAAAATATATTAAAGTAGATCAAAATGGGTTTTTTAATGGAAGACAAATGGAAAATTTAACTAGGAGTGTTTTGAATATTATATATAATATAGAAAAAGATAAATCAAAGGCAGGTATTATATCATTAGATATTTTTAAGGCATTTGATTGTGTAGAATGGCCAACATTAAAGATCCTTTTAAAGGTTTGGGGTTTTGGAAAGAAATTTCGGGGGGTAATAGACTAATTATATTTGGAGAACCTTTCTGCAGTAATTGTTAATGATGGGATGAGAGAACATATAGCTCTAGGCCGAAGCACCAGACAAGGTTGCCCTCTTTCTCCAGTTCTGTTTTGTTTGATTATTGAAATGTTAGCAAATGCAATAAAGGATGATGATTTAATTGAAGATATGTGTGAAAATAATAAAATAAAGATTAATTTATTTGCTGATGAGTCCCTGTTGACAGTGAAAAACTGGTTAGAAAGTATAGATAGAATTAAAATTCATTTAAAAATCTTGGAAAAATAACTGGATTACGTGTAAATTGGTAAAAATCGGAAATAATGTTGTTTAATCATAATAAACTAGAATAAGAAAAGTTTGTTGATAAATATGATTTTAAGATATGTTAATCGGTTAAATATTTAGACATAGATCTAGTAAAAGATACTCCAAAAATAAAGGAACATAATTATAACAAATTAAAAGGAGATATTAAAAAGAAACTACAGGAATATACTAACTTAAAACTTTCTTGGTGTGGAAAGATCGCACTGATAAAAATGAAGAGCCTACCAAAAATTAATTTTTTATTTAGAATGTTACCAGTACAGTTAACAGATGATTTTAAATTTTGGCAAGGAATGATTAATAAATACTCTAATGAAGGGAAGAGAGCCAGAATAAAGAAAAAATATTGGTATAAAACAAAAAAAGGGGGGTATAGGCATACCAAATATAAAAAAATATTATTTGGCTAATCAGTTGAGGTTCATTGGGGAAATTATATATAACCCAGAAACGTTAATTTGGTGGGAAACTATTTGGTATTATTAAGAAATATAAAATAAGCAAAATTAATAACCTGTTTTAAAAGATTATGTTAAACGTCTGGTACAAGTACAGTATAGAAAGGATTTATGTCTGTTTAACTCTCCTTTAGGTTTAGTGACTGAAATAGAGAATTTTCCTGCCAATATGAAAGTTTATGCAGAATTATTTAAAGAAAAAATGATTAGATTAAAACACTAGTTGCACTAAATGAGATCAAAAGATCAAATGAAACAAATCCTTCAAAATAAGAATATATCATGGTTGAATTATATGCAATTAGAAAGAATGAATGGGTAAAGAAGTGTAATAAAGGTAGAGAATATATGAAGTATGAACAATTTCTATTATCATATGAAGATATTCAGATAACTAATTCAATAAAGAGTGCAGTGTGTAAAATTTATAGATTCCTGGTTGATCTAGAAGAAGAGACTGGGAAAGAAGGGTTGAAGTTAGTGTGGGAACAAGACTTAGAAAAAAGAATAAATGATGAAGAATGAAAATGTGGAAAATGAGGGTTTTACGATTTATGATGAGAATAAGAGAAAAAAATTCAAATTTCAAATTGGGTTTAAGATGGTATTTGACACCTACAAAATTGAATAAAATTAATGCTAGTTATCTCTATGTCTGTTTGAAATGTGAGAAGGAAATTGGTACATACTTTCATATGTGGTGGGAATGTGAAAAAGTACAAAGATTTTTGAAACTTAGTGAGGCATCCTTCAGTCTCGAAAGACTATGGTGACGTGCTCTGTATGGAGGACTTGGAACAGCGTCTAGTGTGGCCGAAGAGGCCAATTCGAGAGTGACAATCTTTAAAGAATTAAATGACATATGTGAAAAGATGTAGAATTTAACCGTGAGATAGCTCTGTTATCAATAATTGAGAATGTAGAATATGATGACTACAGAATTGATTGCCAATTTATTAACAGCAGCTAGATTAATAATAGCTAGGAATTGGAAATCAAAGTCTGAATTTCGAATGGATGAATGGCATAATGAAATATGGAACATTGCTATAAATGCTAAGTTAACTTGTAACTTAAAGGTTAAGAAAGGAGAGATGAAAAAGAATAATTTCTATGATATACGGGGCAGATTTCTTAAATATGTGCTAACAAGAGGAAAAGGGAAAGCTCCAAATCAAGAATCAATGCAGTTATGGGGACAAGGACACTAAAGGAAGAAGGAGCATAAAGATAGAAGGATTACTGCAAGAGGTCCTGACTATGGTGGTGGGAAACACAGTCGATTTGTATTTTGGCTTATGTATTTTATGTTTATGTTGTAGTTTAAGGAGAGAGAAAAAGATTTGATACCAAAGGCTTGAACTTGGGACTGGCGCCAAAAAGACTTGGCAACATCCCTGCTATTTTGACTTTGCTGTCTTAAATCTAAACACACTTTATGCAACAAGTCGTTCTGCTTTCCGCACATCGTTGCCTATTTATTTTACCTGGAAATAATTGACTAATAACGGCAAAATAGCGCAATAAACCGATCCATAAATAGCTTCCGATCTGGGAGACTTCGCTTCCGTCACGACGGATAAGAAAGGCTGCCCCAATGGGAAGGAGGAAGGCAGCTTTGGGTGCGGGGGGAGGCGTGGGGGAAACGGCGTGGCATCATCCACCCACCCACCCGACCGGGGGGGGGGATCAGGAAAACGGGCTTCCCCGCTATGGCGGAGATTTGGCTTGCTCGTGTCCTTTTCTTCGGCAAGAGGGCGGTCCCCCCCCCCCAAAAAAAACCCCTGTGTTCAGGGGAGACACAATGAATCACCAGAAAGTACGTTGGTGGGACTTGTTGGAAAGCAAAAACCAGAAAGGTGGGAGCTTTTTTTTGGGGGGGGGAGCTGAGGATTGCGGCAGTGCCGCTAAGGAAAATGCCCTTCATCAGCCTACTCATCGCGCCCGGCTGTCTCCCGGCTATCTTTCGGACGCCCTCCTGGAAAGAGCTGCTCAGGGGTCCTCACCTGCTTAGGTTTTCTGGACAGGGAGGCTGCTTCATCCGGAGTGAAACCTCTCCCAGTATTACGATCGGGAGGAAAAACAATCTAGAAACTCCTGTGCAATAAAAAAAGACGACAGCCCTTCCCCGCCCTTTCGCCTACCTATCGCACACTTCAACTGATACTTTCCGGCTTAGGGAAACGTACTTCGGAAACGATCCCCTTGGATTCACAGGCTCCCTTGTCGCGGAGTGGAGAGTTCGGGAGAAGGCGCTTTTCTCCCTGTTGCTTTTCGTTACCGCCTCTTTGAGGGAATTTAAAGGAATGGTATGGGCTGACCTCTTTCTAAAATTGTAAGAAAAGCGCACGGGATCCTCCTTTTGTCACGCGAGGGATCCCCGCGGAGTGAAAAGACCGTCCCTTCCCGGGTCAGGGGACCGGGGGTTTGCCGTCTGTGATGGCCATTGTTTCCTCCTCGCCTCTCGCTCCGAAGCCCTTGGTTTCATGACAATAGAACTGACGCTCAGCTCAGGATGGTGCAGAAGCTCCTAAATTCTGGATTTCTGGCTCATCGGTGGGGCAGTGGAAAGAGGTTCGGGGTTTTTGCTGTAGTGGTTGAGAAACGCCTGTCCCAAAGGCGACAGGCACGTCGGGGAGCAGGTTCCCATCCACGGCGCTTCCTCCCGAGCGAGAGCTGCAGTCCTGCGCACTTACCTGCGAGTAAACCCCACTGGTCCTAGCGAGATGTGAATAAGTGGGGAATAGGTTAGGGCTCCGTAAGTGCGCAGGACGGGAGAGGATGCTCAGCAGAGATACTCAGAAACACTCCCCCCCCAATCTCCTCTTTCCGTTCGTCACCAGGGAGAAGCAATCCAGAGCTGCGATCCTATGCCTGCGAAGCAAATAGGACTGAAATCAACTACAGTATTGTAAATCAGCAGGAATACATCGGACTGCAAGGCTCAAACCCGTCTCTTTCGTGACACTGGCACACATATACACACACGCACACGTATACCCTGGACTGTTTCTTCAATGGCCTCTGGAAAGAGACTTAAAACAGGGAAAATCCTCGCGATCCGTGCCTGGGCGTGGGGAAACCCGGAGAGACCTTTCG